GGGGACCAGCTGACAGGCTCCAGTTGTCCTTTGGTGTGACCTCTGCCTGAGGGAAGCAGTCCCAATTCCAGCTCTTCTCCACACCTGGCCCCAGTGTGACTAGAACCCTGACCCTAACTTACACTACAGCCTTGGTCTCCTCTCCATCAGTGCGTCCTGCCCAGGTGCCAAGCCCCGGACAATCTGTCCTGGCCTCCTTTGTCTTTGCTGCCTCTGACCTGGGCACATCACCTCGGACTGCCACCTTTGCCTCCTGCCGTTCAGTTTTCACTTGACACTTGTGCTCAAGCTTCCCTCTAGCCCTGTCAGGGGCAAACAGACACATCCACAAACTGGCTGCAACAAGAAAAGGGATCCTTGTCCCTTCAGGAGAGTCACTGCGCAAATCTCCCAAGTGTGATCAGGACCCTTGCTGGGCGGATGCACATCAGAGAGGTTAAGAGGCTTTGCAGACCATCACGCTGAGTCCAAGTCCTGGCCCTCGGGGGTGACCATGACTCACAACTTCTTTGAACTCTATTTGTACTCATATTTAAAATGGATATAATAATCAGACTTATCTCACAGGGTTGTTATGAGGATTTAAAGAGATGCTATGCGTGAAGTCATTGGCATGCCAGGTCACCAGTGGTCTGTTGTGAGTATCATCAGTTATTATCATCATCCTCACTCACATCTGCCATGGGCTAGTGATTAAGGGCACAGGCATCAGAGTTAGAATGACCGAGTTTGAATCCCGCCCCTTCACTTCCAATCTGTGTGGCTTTGGTCTGCTTATCTCTGTGCCTCACTTGGGTCATCTGTGAAATGAGAATAACAAGTGTATCTACCTCCTACGGTTGTTGTGAGGATTAAGTGAGTTAGCTCATGCAAAATGCTTAGAACTGTACTGAGTACATGATAAACATCCAATGATGTTAGTTGTTGTTGTTGTTGTTATTACCATTTCTTTCATTTTTTTTTTTTGCTGAGGAAGACTAGCCCTGAGCTAACACCTGTGCCAATCCTTCTCCACTTTATATGTGGGTCGCCACTACAGCATGGCTGACAAGCAGTGTAGGTCTGCCCCCAGGATCTGAACCTGCAAACCCGGGCCGCTGAAGCGGAGTGTGCCCAACTTAACCACTAAGCCATGGGCCTGGCCCAACTATTTCTAATGTTATGATCACCCAGGCTGCAAGTGGCTTTTGAGGCACATTTAGGCCACAGCAGGGATAAAGAGCTTCTGCGAGGCTCCTACACGGTGGTGGTACAAATGGTGGCGGTGCCTGCCTGACTCACTCTGTGTGAGCATGAGGGAGGGACTGTATTTTCCAAGGAGAAGAGATGTACGCTCCCAATTCTAAACAAATCAGGCGGTGCCAAGCCCTGATCTGAGTCTGGCAAGCCAGTGGGGCTATCTGGTTTTCCAGATCTGTTCTAAGGAAAAATGCTGCCCACAAAAGATCATGCTTCGTGCCAGATTAAACATTACAGACTTATTCAATAACATAAGTTACTGACCACGGAAGAAAAAAAATCCATTATCTTGAAATCTAGCTTTCACTGAAGCATCCAGATGTGTTCTAAGCCTTTTGTGACACATACCTGTTACTCACAGACTGCAAGTCTAGGATTTAAATATACACAGACGGTTCAGATGCTGCCTTCTCTAAAGACTACTGAATTTTCTGTTAAAACTCAAAGGCGCCAGTGAGGGTGGGCTGCAGAGAGAGCGACTTTCCAGGTCTAGTCAACGCGACATGCGTGGTGACCGTATGCGCCGCGTAGGACGTGAAAGGCTATTTAGGGTCTGCTGCAGTGACAAACGATGAAGCTGTGCTTAGAATATTAGCCACAATCTTTCTTCCAGGCTGTTGTGTCTGACAGATCCATGGCAACACAAGGGCACAGAAGGGATTTTCTTAGTTCCCTGTTTCTCTTCTCATGTTCAGCTCTTCTCATGCTGGGTAGGAAAAAGAGCTGCCCAAGGAGAATTTTCAAACCGAAAAATGCAAACCTGCACAGCTGGAGATGCTGGGAGACGTCAGTAACCAAAATATTCCTAGAGGTCAAAACCATGTACCAGTATGTTTGAGATGAGGGAGAGATACTACTAATAAAAGGTATCACGTAACCACCACAGAGGGTCATGTGTGTCAAAGACTGTATTAATGAGGTTAAATGCATTATCATTTAATTCTCACAAAAACCCTACAAAGGAAGTAGTATTATTCACTGAGTTCCATAGATGAGGAAACTGAGCCTTATAGAATTTAAGCAATTTGTTTAAGACCACACAGCTCTCACATGATGAAGGCTGGATTTGAACCGGTACTCCAAACCATTAATTAAGTGAGAATCTGAAAAACCAGGGCTTATGTGAGAACTTCCAAAGGGACTAATGATGGGGTTAAAATTGTGCCCATCCTAACAGCTCACTTCTGTCATGTGCTGTCCAACAGGGGAGGCGCTAGCTACATGTGGCTACTGAAATTTAGATTGATTAAAATGAAAGGAAATTTAAAATTCAGTTCATTGCTGTTGAGCACTTGAAATGTGCAGCTGACGGCCTGAAATTTTAATTCCATTTAATTTTAACGAATTCAGATTTCAACAGTCACATGTGGCTAGTGGCGACTGTGTTGGACAGTGTGATCTCAGGACTTTTCTCAACTATATCAGACATGGCTCAGAGCTGCTTTCCAAAAATCTCCGAGACAGAGGGGCGTCAGTTGCTTCGCCCAAGGATCCATAGAAAACCAGGGGATAAATTCCCCGCCTCTTCCTTAGGATTGGAGACCATATGTTCTTCCAACGGAACCACATGGCCTTTCCAATGTTCCCTGACCCCCAGATCTCCTGATTTCCTCCTAAGTCACAGTGTGAGGACAATAAAGCCAGAACAGACAGACCCAGGAACAAATGATCGCAGACAATGGTTGCACCAGCATCAGCAGGGAGCTGGTTAAAATGCAGGCTCCTGGGCCCCACCTCTCTAGGATCTGATGCAAGGGGTCTGGGAGGGAGGCCCAGGAGTCCTTATTTTAATCAAGCAGCCAATGATTCTAATGCAGGAGGTCTAGCTTTGAGAAATTCTGCTTGAGAGGCTGAATTACCTATTTATCTCCTGGCCTTTTAAATAATTATAGCACATAAATCTGTTGAGAATAACACAAACTGGGCTGGAAGCCAGGCAGCATCACTCTGCACTAATTGCTCACTTCGATGATATTAGGCAAGGTGCTTAGTCACCAAGGCCTCATTTTTTTCATCTGAAATATGGGGGTAAGGATATTTGCTATTTGTCCTCTAGGACAAATGAGAACATAGATGCAAAAGCATTTGAGGGGGATAAAAACTAAAAACACACCGTATAGACATCCTACAACTCAGAGACACATTTTGCTTGTCTAGCAGAGAGTTTAAATAGATTCCACATCTTAAAAAATCCACATATTTAACTTGTCTGGAAAAACTGGAAGATTTGACAGCGTGGGGCTCATAATAGGTTGGCAGCCTGGTGTGATTAAGAGCATTGCTGTGGGGCCATATGCACAGGTTCAAATCAAAGCTACATCTTTTAAAAGCTGGGTTACTTTGGGGAAGTCCTTCAACCTCTCTGTGCTTCAGTTCCTTCGACTCTGAAGTGAGAATTTAGTAGGATATCTCTCATAGGGTTGCGATGATTTAATTAAGTGAGCTAATATTTATAAAGTGCTTGGAACAATGTTTGGCACTGGTAAGAGCTACATAACTGTTAGTTGAATAAATAAATACCCCTGCACGTGGCAATAACCAGCTGGAGCTGAGCAGTGGCTGTCCCCTACAGATGGGGCTGACATGCACAAGTCTGTCACAGGCTCCATCCAGACACATTTGACTATGGGATCCCTGTTGTAAGGGGCAGACATGTGTCTTCCTCCTCAGGTGTCCTGCCCAAAAGGGACAGACTATCCATGGGGAAGGGCCAATTTTTATTTTCAATCCATTGTGGACTGGTATGTGGCTTGCTGAGCACGACTGATACACAGCACATGCCACAGACAACTCACCCGTGGGTTCTACAATACCCTGGCTGGTCTGTCCCTGGACCGATAAGATGAGCCCACTGAACACGCACTTGGATGTCACAGCAACGTCAAATTGCTCTAAGGTTTCTAAACACTGATAATTTCAGCACTTATCTCGCTGTGGACTGTGGCCAGCCCTGATTCTCAGACTACACTTTGAGTAGCGCCATCTTAGAGGACATCTACATCAGTCTTTACACGCACACAGACCGGCTAGACAATTTGGTTGCAGAGGGCAGGTATGGGAGTGTCTCTCTCTCCCCACTTCTGTCCTTTTCAGCCTGCCTGCCTTCTCTGTGTCTATCCACATTTCTTTTGTCTTTATCTACACATTAAAACCAGCTCCTTAATGAGATACTGGGCTTCAGTCTCAGAAGTTGTCAGGGACGTTTTGGGCTCCCAAGCAGCATCCGGTTTCATGAGGACTGCCCGCAGCTCACAGCTGTCCCTTCTCCTGAATGTTGCCTTTGGCCGACGGGAGCTGCCCTGCCCCATGCCCACATCCACAACCTCATCCCCACGTCACTCTCCAGCAGCCCAAAGTCAAGAACTGACATGGTGGTGCAAAATGTCAGCCCCTTTGTCCCAACAGGGAAACAACTGTATGGTGCCAGTCATCCTCTAGAGCCCCCTGTTGGATAAGGTTGACGCTTGACTCCAGCCCAGACATCGTTCTTCATTTGGCTCCTCTCCCTGCCCCGTTCTGCTTCTCTCACTCTCCTTCGCTGGAAGCACGCCCTGAATATATCATAGGCATCCTAATCCCTGTCTCAGGCTCTGCTTGTAGGAAATCTGATCAAAGACAAAGGCCATAGGAAACTTGGGCTCACCTTCCTCAACAACCTATTGGAGGAGGGCACATGGCAGGAACAGCACTAAAATCCTGGTGACGGGCATCAGGTCACCCAGAGACTACCCCATGCCATTTTCCAGCGGAACAGAACCTACCTGTTGCATTAGACAGGGCCAGCGATTCCATGGAGCCACGAGGGGTCTGCTCCGTGGGTGTCATGTCCTCAGTGTATTTCAGGGAACTGATTGGATGACGGGTCCGACACTGCTGAGTGGATATGGCCCCTTCCTCCTCCTCCTCCTCCTCCTCATATTTGGGCACTGGGATGCTGCCTCGGGTTTCACTAAAGCTCTGACTGGACATGTCGCTGTAGCTCTCCTGGGATCTCAGCCTTCCTGGGTAATAGTCCTCTCGGCACTCCTTGATGAAGCTGCCGCCGTGCCCCTTCATGGCCAGTGACGAGCTCCTTTTGGGGTTGCTGAAGTGCTTGGCCCACATGTCGGGCTGGGCTCCAGCCCCTTGCCCGCCTGGACTGTAGGAAGTTCTGATGTTGCACTGGCTGAGGAGCTGCAAAGGACTCTGGGACTGGTTCTGCTCCATCTTATTCCCGTAATGGTAGGGCTCATCCCGGCTCCTCCAAATGGGGTCCCGGTTGAGGCTGGGCGTCTGGCTGGACAGGCTGAGCAGGTCCATCTGCAGCGACAGGGGGTCCACGTCGGCTGAGAGCCGGTTGGAACTCACCTGCAGCTGGCTGTGCTGGTTCAGCACGGGCTCCTCCGTCTTGCCCTTGTTCTTGCCAATTTTGGCACTACGCCGGGACTCCTTGGCCCTGGCATTCTGAAAGGCTGAATCGGATGAGTCAGAGCCATTAGGGTCCTCCCCGGCACTGCAGGCCCGTGAACAGAATATCTGGCCCTGTTTGGGGAGGAATGGCCGCCCCAGGAGGGACTTCTTGCAGTGAGCACAGCAGAAACAGGTCTCAGTGGCATGCCAGTGTTGGCCGTCATAGGTCATCTGACCTTGGTCAATCCCTGGGGAAAGAAGAGACATGGAAGAGGCTGACGAGATGCTCAGAGTATTGCAATACGACATGAAGCATACAGCACCCTGGTTTGTCTCAGGGTTCCAGATGCAGCAGAATAAAATTTCAATAAACCAATGATCAGGTCCCCACGTAATTGGTACTCATGTCCTATTACGAGAGCCCCCTTGCTCTACCAGTCAGCTCCTTCTTAACCCATTTGCTCTGAGAATAGAGAAACTTGATCAAAATGGCTTGTCCATGAATCCTCCTGCCTGGGACATACTCCTCTGGACAAACAGCAATAATGGTACTAATGTATCATGAAGCACTGATTTAAATGCTTTGCATATATGTAAACTCATTTAACCCCTCAACTGTATAAGGTAGGTTTCGAATATTATTTCCATTTTTCAGATGAGCAAACAGAGGCACAGAGGTTAAATAACTTGCCTAATGTAAAATAGCTAGGAATCATAGATGACATCTGTACCCAGGAAGTCTTACTCCTAACTGTGACATTGATGCTGTCTCCATCACCCTACTTAGGGGTCTTCTCAAATGCCAACTCCTTGGAGAAGTCTTCCTGTCCACCCTAATAGCATGCTCTCCATCATTCTCCACCTTTACCTGCTATATTTTTCTTCATTGTGTGAATACTGCTTGACATTGCACCACTATGTATGCGCAGGTATTTATTACTTCTCTTCCCCACTAAAACTGAAGCTCTATGAGGACAGGGTCTTTAAGTTTCTTTGGTACCTCCAGGCACATGGCCTGGTGCATCAGTCTCAGGAGCCCTAGTGCAGGTCACGTGCCCACCCCTGAACCAGTCACTGGATTTGCTGAATGGGTGGATGAACTGAACTGAATCACCAGGGTATGCCAACCCAAGTGGTAATCACTGTAGCAGCTCAGTGGAAAAGAAAACAGTGGATCTCAGCCCTTGGTAAGGAAAAACTTGGACGTGGTTTGTCAAAGATCTCTCCCCTCCATAAGCGTGCATATCTTTTGCTTAACTTCATCAGGAAAGGATGAAACATGTTTCCTCCCCATGCCGGTGCTGTACGTGGCTTACATGATCTTGTTACACCTGTGATCTTGTTACCCCCGCGTACAGGAACCTCCCATAGCCCCAGCTGTTCGTCCTCCTCAGCATCTCCTCTGCCCTCCTCTGGTTATAGGACTTAATCTCCCTGTGGGACAGCCTCTCCCTGCCAGCCCTGGGCCCTGAGCTTTGGGAGGGGCTAAAGCCATGCCTGGACCCACCCCTGGCCAGTAAAAAGCCGTATCTTCCAATCCAGTGACTGGTTCAGGGGTGGGCACGTGACCTACACTAGGTCATCTAGACTGTTGCTAAGATAGTGACCCAGGGAGGCTCTCTTTTGACAGCAGTTGCTAAACTCGCAGAATGGGAGCTGGGAGCTGTTGGGGCCTTCCTCCTATAGGGAGAGCCTGCTGCGAATGTGGCCCCAGCAATCACTGGGGGATGAAAGGGCACCTCTGCAAGACTCCTGATGTCTGACAATAAATGTCTTCCCGGAAAGGGAGTACCAATGTGAAATTCACCTTTAGTGGCTGGGAGTCCTGAGCCTGGACTTTCCAGGAATGACTTCTAGAGACTTGGCTAGAGAGGCGGTGATGAGAAACTGGGAGGAATAGAGAAGGGCCAAAGAAAAGGCAAGTGGCAGAGCAGCCTCTCCTCCCCGCCTAGCTCTCCCTGCTTTCCTTTATGTCCCTGGAGCCCAGGGACAGAGAGGCAGGACGCAAACTCTTCTCCCTACCAGCTCCTCCCCAGACTAAGGGGGATCTGTTTATTTAACAGTCAGGCCCTAGGGACTAAGAGGGGATTTTGAGAGGAACAGGAGCAGCCACAAGGACCACTCCAAGGCAAGAGGGACCCGGTGAATCAACTCCCCCTCAGCACAGCATTCCCAGGAGGCCGGGGCGGGCTCCATCCACACTTCCTCCCCAGGCTCCTGGGAGGAAGCAGGACAGGCGGCGCAGGGAGGCATAGCCCTCTAATAGTTGAGAATGAGGCTTCAGGACTCAGACAAACGCAGGTTCAAATCCCAGCTCCAGGCCATTCCAGCTGGTTGTAAACATGCTGAAGCCCATCAGCTTGGGTTCAAATCTTGGCTGTGCTGCTGCCTGGCTGTGTGACCCTAGGCAAGTGGCTTCATGTCTCTGTGCCTCAGTTTTCTCTGCGGTAAAATGGGGAAAATACTAGTACTTACTTCCTAGGGTTGTAGAGGATTAACTGCGTTAATATGCAGAGTGTGCTTAGACCAGTGTCTGCTAACTAGTCTGACTGCTCTTCTTTTTGTATTTTTATTAGGTCTTAACGCCTGTCCCTCTCTTTTTCTGAGGGCTGCTGCCTGGGTGCAGTTCAAGAAAGAAGTCTGAGGCTGGCTTGATCTTCCCTCCCCTGCCCCGAATCCCCTCTCCTCCAGGGCGTTTTGCCTTCCCATCCCAGCTGCCCTGGGTCCTGACTCTGAGCTCCTCCTCAGTGCTACAGCCCCAGCAGCTGCAGCCGTACCCATGCCCTGTCAGAGGGACGCAGGAAGTCCAGTTCCTACAGACTGTCCTCCATCAGCTGCTTCTCCATGCTTCTGCAAGGACACGCACTCAGATGTGGCAGCCGAGGCCTACTTCTGGGGATGAAGCCTCGCAGAGGACCGGGCCGCGGTGGGGAGAGTGGAGAGGGAAGCATCTTACAAGGCTGCGCTGCAGGCAGCGGAACGTGGTCCCTGATAAGCATCAACCATGTCAGATGGTGCTCTGAACTGCTCCTGAACTCTAAACATCTGGAAAGGGGCTCTGCCATTCCACATCTAAGCGTTCCTTTTTTATTCCCCCTCTAAGCCCTTTAAGCACTTCTCTGAGGGTGTATCTGTCTACTGCTGCTACAGCCTCGGTCTGTTTATAGGACTGTTTACTCTGCTGCGTGCAGGCAAATGTACCGTTGCCCTGGCAACGGCTGCCTGATGCAGGGTCCGCTCTGAGCGGCTGTATAAATATGGAATGTTTGTATAATATGGTCAGAGTAAAGCACCCAGACTGTGGGATGCATGATATACAGAGCATAGCCTTCGCGGTCACAGGAAAATTACGTTTTACAGAAAAGTGGATTTAGGGGGGGAAAAAAAGGGTGGGACAGCATTTTAACTAGAGCAGTGATAACACGGCAGGCCAGAGGTCCCCCTTTCCAGTAAAACATTGATGCCTTTTATGGACTTAAGAGGGGAGGAGAAGGGAATGCCAATCAAAGCTTCAAAGAGCGAAAAGAAGGTAGAAAGAGGAGAACACAGAGGGGCCTTCCGAGGTGTACATGCTGTGGCAACAGACCGATTTTCTCTCTTCCAAACCGCTGAGCACGAATTCTAAGTGGCAGTTTCTGGAGAGGCTGTTAAGCCTCAATGGAAAGGGACAGAAGAAACAGAAGTACTACTGAGAAGGGGGTATCGGTGCCCTAGGTAAGTGTTCTGTACACTCAGCCCCTCTCAGCCGAGCAAGTACCTACTTGTAGTTCCAGAATCCACGGTGAGCAATGCCAGGTAAGTTGCATCATTTTCCTCTGACAATGTCCCACCCCCTGCCCTTCCTCACATGTGCAGCCACCTGTCCAAATCAAGCTCCCTATTTCCTAACTCTTAGCATAACAGAGAGTCTGCTTCCCTGTTCTGATCTTGTGAGAAATGAAAGCTCATTGGTACTTGGTTGAGGCGTCAGGCCGTGAGAGGGTGAGGTTCTTCGGGGTGAGGAGAAAGGGGATTTGCATATCACCCAGGCCCCTGGAAGGGAAGGCTGGTGGACAAAGGTCAGCAGCAATGTTTGACCCTGGCCTGGCAGGGACTCCAGCTTAGAAAGGGCTCCATACTACTAACTAATTTTTCATTTGAATACATCACTTCTGATGAACCAGGGAGACAAAGCCACTTCTTCTTGTTCCCGATAAAATCTTTTAAGTCGGGTAAAATGGGCTCCAGGCTGATAATCTCCACATCTCCCCCGTGTAGGTAAGGAGCTGGCAGCTTCTGAGCAGATTTCTTGGAATTGCACAAGCCACAGGAAGATCAGGCTGCTGGTCTCACAGACACTCATCCACTGCCAACTCTTGTTTTTCTTTTTAAAGGGCGGCTCATTCTCAAGGTGCCAAAACAGGCAAGTTGAATGAAGAAGCCACAGATGCAGCATGATCCGGAATAGCATCGAAGGGTTGAACAAATTGCTTATTTGCAAAGGGAAAACGATTTTCTCCGTCTCAGACCTACCGCTTATTTGGGGAGTTTATAGCTCATGAGCTATTTGAGGTTCTCTTGCTTTATATTTGGCTGGGTCAGCTTTTGCTGATTTTTTATTTTTAAAGACATGCTTGCCAGAAACTGTTTGGTTTTCTTGACTATCCCCTTCCTACCAAGAGGACCGCTTTGGTCCCTCCCTCTGCTAACCCTCAAGTTTTTCTAAGGAGGCTGTGGAGGATCTGTTTATATTTCCCTTCTGACACCCCACTCCGTCCCCTTGGTGGTGGGGCTATACATCACACAGCCCCCTTTCACGGGTGGGCCTATGACTCAGGCAGACCAATAGAAATACCCTATTCTCTTGTTTCCAGGGTAGATCATATGACCAAACCAAGGATGATAAGGTTCCTATTTGGAGGAACTGACTCTGATATTAGAAGAGACATGGCCCCACTCCCATTTGACAATGCATGTGCTAAGATTATGTATATCTGAGGGGTCATCTTAGCTACCATGTGAAGATAGCTTACTTTCAAATGAGGCCAACAGAAGGCAAGCTGAGCTGAGACACAGGACAAAAACAGACTTTGTTTGGACCCTTGATCCATCCCCACCTGAAGCCAGCATATTCCTTGGCCTTTCTAGTAAGATGAGCCAAGAAATTTCTTTTTCCACTTAAGCTATTATGAGTTGTATTTCTATCACTTGCAACCGAAGGGATTCTAACTCTACCAGACACAAATGAGATCTAGTCACAGTAGGACCGAGCTGAGTACCAAGTGTTGCCTCACCTATGTGCTGGGCACAGGTGTCGCAATATTCTGCATACAAGGACTCGAAGCAGTGGCAACAGTAGGGCCTTCCCTCCTTCATGATGTAGCGCTGGCCGCCCAGCACTGTCTCGCACTCGAAGCAGCAGAAGTGTTTCATGTGCCAGTGCCGCCCCTCAGCTTCTGTGCATTCGTCTGCAAAGATGATCTGGAGATTGGGAAATCAAACAGTCAGTGGTTAAGACGCAGCCATGAGAAAGCACTTTAAAGAAGGAGAGCTGTGGGAGGCCCAAAGGAGAGGAGCAGGAAAGCAGGTCCCGCCCACAAATTATTAAATAAACATCTATATGTATGTTTATTCTATATCTCTATCACCTCTTGCACTGAGATTTGCCTAAAGCACAATGAAACATGGTTTCTGGCCTGGCCAGTGATTAATTTAACTGCATTTTAATAAGTAGAAGAATGTTCTACCCTGAAGAATATAAAGTGGGACCCAAACTGACAGCTCATGGGCACTCTGAACATACATATCTGTTTTATTTGGCTTCGATACAATATTTTTAAAGGGAAATGTCATATAAACACCTGGAATCTTGGTTTCTCTTTTGAAGATTTAATATTCAGCAATGCTTGGTGCATATTCCTGCACCCCAACAGCAAGCTGGAGCTGAGAAGAGGGGGTGCTGCTTTCAGATGAGTGGCGAGTTCTTCGGTTTGTCATATTCTTCACCATTCACTGTTGCCTTAAAATGAGTCACCTTCATTTACAATACCTGCCTACCCCTCAGAAGCATTTGTGTTTTGACTCTTAAAATAGAGTTTTTTAAAATTTCAAAGCACAGCTCTAAAAGCTTAATATAAACAGCAGTAATCAAGGCTGTGTGGTACTGGTACATAGACTAGAGAGCCCAGAAATAAACCCAGACACTTATGGCCAATTGATTATCAACAAGGGAGCCAAGGACATTCAACAGAGGAAGAATAGTCTCTTCAACAGATGGTGCAGGGAAACTGGGCAGCCTTATGCCAAAGGATGAATTTGAACCTCTACCTCACACCATATACAAAAATTAACTCAAAAGGGATCAAAGACCTATATATAAGAGCAAAAAAATCTATAAAGTGCCTAGAAGAAAACACAGGTGTAAGTTTTCTTGAATTTGGATTAGGCAATTAGGCAATGGTTTCTTAGATGTGACACTAAAAGTATAAGCAACAAAAGGAAAAATAGATAAATTGGACTTCATCAAAATTAACAACTTTTGTGTTCAAAGGACACCATCAAGAACGTGAAAATGTAACTACAGAATGAGAGAAAATACTTGCAAATCATGTATCAAATAGGGGGCTAGTATCCAGAATATATAAACAAACTTACAACTCTACAATAAAAAGAAAAATCATCCAATTGAAAACATGGGCAAAGGACTTGAATAGACATTTCTCCAAAAAAGAAGAAATGCAAATAGCCAAAAAATACATGAAACGATGCTCGACATCGTTAGCTAACAGGGAAAAGTGAATCAAAACCGCCGTGTGATAACACTTCACACCCACTAAGATGACTATAATGAAAAAGACAGACAATAATAAGGGTTAGGGGAACTGGAATCCTCATTCACTGATAGTGGGAAGGTCAAGTGGTATAGCAGTTTTAGAAGTCAGTTTAGATTCCCTCAAAAAGTTAAACAGAATTACCACATGATCCAGCAATTCCACTTCTGGGAGTATACTCAAGAGAACTGAAAATGTGTGTCCAGACAAAAACTTGTCAAAGAACGTTCACAGCAGCATTGTTCATAATACTTAAGAAGTGGAGACAACTTAAATGTCCACCAACTAATAAATCGCTAAACAAAATGTGATATATACGTATAATTGAATATTATTCAGCCATGAAAAGGAAAGTACTGAAACATGCTATAACATGGATTAACCTTAAAAACATCACATTAAGGGAAAGAAGCTAGACATAAAAGGTTACATATTGTATTATTCTACATATGAAATGTCCAGAATATGTAAATTCATAGAGAAAGAGAATAGATTAGTGGTTGCCAGGGGCTGGGGGAAGGGGAAAGGGAAGTGATGGCTAATGGATATGGGGTTCTTTTTTGAATGATGAAAATGATCTGCAATTAGACGACAGTGATGGTTGTACACCTTAAAAGGGTGAACCTTACGCTGTATGAATTATATCTCAATAAACAAAAATTTCAAGGCACTTTAATCATCATATTCTACTTGCCGTTAGATAATATAAAGTCATAAGCACCAATTTCCACATGTGGAAACTGAGGCATGAAGGTAAAGCAGCTGCCTAGAATTACAGAGTTGGAACCAGCTTCCCAACTGCTTGCCTAGAGGGTCTCTTGTGAACATCACTATTAGCATTAGAATCCAAATTAGTTAAGGATGATCGACTTCCTCCAAGATGAATGAATCTCTGATAGGCAGTTTATAAGGAAGAAACACCATGTAATAGTGGACTCTGGCTGAAAAAGTGGAGTGCTGTTTACGGGGCCCCGCATTGCTGTTCACGGGTCAGATAGAACCAAAAGTCTACTTTGTGCAGGACGAAACCCCTATCCGAGACCTTTCCCCAAATTATTCCCATAAAGGTGGTCAGGTTTAGAACATTTTCCTCTCTGCTCCAAACTTTTAAGCTGAACCAGGTCTTCTATTCTTTCAGCTTACGGGTCACACTGGGTGTGCTTCTGGTGCTTCAGGCATGGGCCTTGTGTTCCCGTCTGCTTTCTCACTGGGGGTAGCAAATTCAAGTACCTCTTAGAGTATATGGGGCAGAAGCATCCAAATGGAGTCTCCGTCTGCCTCCTGACCCCTCATCAGAACTTGTGTAAATTGTGGGAGAATCAAATAATGCTCCCCATTTTCTTCTCTTCTCAAACCAATCTGTCCCCTGGAATCTCAGGAAACAGATCTATTTTAAGATACATGTGACACACAATTACTGATGATTACTCCCTGGGATTTGGCCTGAAATCTAGAGCTGCACAAAGCCTTTTTTCAATTTTTTTTTTTAAGAGTTCTGATTTGACCTAGTGCCAGGGGTATGCCACCTGGGAATCTCCTCAGTTCCAGAAACTGTCTTCCCATCTGGAGGCCCAGGAGACTGCCACATTCAGTAAAGTGGGCCACAATCCTGGACATTCGAGCAACCAAGGATGGGTGGGGCTGCTCTCTGGAAAGGGTTAATATAAGCAGGTGGGGTGGCCTATGGTTTTCTTCAATGCAGGAAGCCACAGGACAACATGTTGGCTATGGCAAACTGAGGGGTGATCGGCAGGGCTGCATGCCCCAGGGAGTGTGCTCTGACCTCGTCGCAGGCTGCGCAGCGCGGTTTCAGGCACTCCGCGTGGTGCCTGCCACAGTATATCTTCCCATCTTGGTAAAAGTAGATCAAATCCACCAGGAGCTCATTGCAGACAGTGCATATAAAGCACGGTGGGTGCCAGCAAACGCCGTGGCCGGCTCGAGATGCAAACACAGCGATGTCCCCGCCATTAATCTGGCCTCCGCACTGTGAGGCAAACAGAAACGTCAGTATGAACGCCAGTCCCCATCTCTCAGCGCCACGCACAAAGGATGAACGACCACCGCCACCACCACTAGCTGGTTATCGAGCACTGATTTTCAAACTAGTCACTATGCTACCTACTTTACATACGTGGCAGGACAGAGTTTTCTCCCTCCCCCCACTCTCCTTTCCTAGGGCCAACAAGTAAGATGAAGACAAGTACCTGAGAAAATAAGGACTCACAAATGTGGGAAGGAGAAAAACTCTTTGAGCATAACAACACAGAGATGCTCAGCAGGCAGGAGGCAAACACACAGAGTGAAGGTCTCATTATCTTTTAGATACCCCAAACTCCATGCAGAGGCACAGCCAAGTTTAACACCAGGAGGAGCAGGCTGTGGGGGGTGGAGAGTGGAAAGATGGGGCCATGGGAGGGAGTGGGGCCTGCACTGTGGGGTGGAGGTGGGGGGTTCATAAAAATATGCCCATCTTTAACTATCTTCTCTACAAGCCTTTCAGGCATGCTTTTAGCCTGCTTCCTCTAACATCTTTTTACACAATCTTGATTGAGAAGGCACCATGTCTAAGGCCAGACTATGGAAAGATCTTCTTCCCTCTCCCTCTCCTATCTCCTCACTCATCTTCCAAACATCCTTCTCCCATCCAGAAGGGAACAAGGCAGAATCCCTCATGACCCATGCTTACGGTTGGGATAAGACCAACACGGCCTGAGGGTCTTTGAGGGAGGAGTAAAGTGTGAGGCAGCAGGTCCAGGGGGAGGCTCTGTGCTGACCATGGTGTTGGCCATGAGGGTCATAGCCTGAGGGTCTAGTACCATGGCCCCATGGAGTGGCTGAGCTCTGCGGACCATGTTTGAAGAGTAGAAAAGCTACCTCCAAACCATTCCCACACCATGGACATCATATGGGTTGAACAGCTTCACAGAAAATGAGGTAAAGATCTCATGGAAGAGTCTTTGGGGGCTCATTCATGTGAGTGACCAGACAAAAGAAAGACACTACATTACAGAAAGTGTTACCCAGGCCTTTCACGGTAACGTCACTAGAGCTGAGGCACGCACACTGTGAAGGGATAACTGAGGCACATTCAAGTTTTCAGGTTTATTTGCTCCAAGACTGATTCGAACTGGACAGCAAGTGTCAACGTGAGGTGGTGAGGAGTGCTCCACGGACAGGGGGTTGGGGAGAGGACTTTACAGAGAAGATGCGGAAGCAAAGCGAGGCAATTATTTGATTACTATAGCTTAAGAGGTTGCCTTATTTGGGAAAGCCTGGTTGGCTGCAATTGGTTGTTCTTAAGTTTCATTTTCTTGGATTCCAGTACATTGACTCTGGCTTAGGTTTTGGTTTGTGTGTGTAGCTACCAAGGCATTAGAGCCACGCCAGTCTAATGGCCTCCTTGTTGAATTACTTTAATATGGAATCCTCCTTAATCCTCACCATAATTCTACTATGTAGGCATTTATTATCCCCATTTTGCGGATGACAAAACCAAGGACATGTAACGCCGTCGAGGTCATCTGTCAGAAACATGAGTCAAACTTATGTTTTTCTGCCTCCATGGTCTCGTCATTATTCTATACTACTCTCCATATCTGCCCACGAAAGGCCCAACCTTCCTTTTGTCTTAGGTGACCCCAGCTGGGCTGGTTCCCCAAGAGTGATCTGAGAGTGGCAGATGTCCTGAACTGAGCACACACAATCCCACATCTTAACCACTGACCACGTGTATCTCAAGGGTGGGTCTCAAGGATGAAGACCCCACTGCCAAATCTCTGGTCCTTTGGCTCCCCTTAGTAAGTAGTGTCTCCATTCCATCCATCTGAACCTACTCTCCTTATCCCTCTGAAATCCCCAAAAGGGCCTCAAAATGGCATCCACTCCCTTCAGGCAGTATCTCGCTTTTTCTTCTCTGATCCAGGTCATCTCTCTTTAGCACCTGGATGGGTCCCTTAAGAACTTAAGGAGTCAGATGGGGCTGCACAAAAAGCAGCAAGGCTAAGAGAAGAACCAAAAAAGCCATCAGCACTGGAAGGCTTCTGGTGGCCAAGAGGTGGGTCAGGATGAAGCCAGGCAGGCTGGATTCCCATCCTGCTTTCTTTAAAACCCTCCTCCACCATGACCTGAGCACTCTACAGGAGAGTAGAGGTGAAAAACAAACCCAGACTCTTTAGCTGAGTGAGGTCCTAGGGAGAATGCAAGGGGCTTCATGGATTTGCTAAAGATCCCTCAAACCCAAGGAGGTGGTCATTTATCATTGAAATGGCACTAGTCCTGGGATGATCTTAGAAAAGAGGCTGACCAGTGGTCCAGGAAAACTCCATTTTCTAAAGGCCTCATTTTAAAATATAAATCCATCATGCCATTCCAATGCTCAAATCCTTCCCATGGCTTCCCATCTCCTTCTAATGGCTTACACAACTCTCCATGAGCTGGCCCTCCACAAACTCTTGCTTTGTCTGCTAATTCTCTCCCTTCACTCCCTCTGCCCGACCATATTGGCCAGCTTACAGCAGAAATCCTCCTGCCTCAGGGCCTTTGAGCTGGCTGTTCTCTCTGTCCCTTGAGATCTGCATGACTCACTCCCTCAGTTCTTACGTATCTTTGCTCAGAAGCCACCTTCTAAGTGGGGCTTTCTCAGCCACTTTACTGAAAATTGCCACCTCCTAGCACTCCTACTCCCCTTCCCTGTTGTATTTTTTCATGTTATTTATGTTATTGTCTGACTTCTTTCCTAGAACGTAACTCCTTACAAGGGCAAGATCAAGCTTTCAAATTTTGTTCACTGCTGTTATCCGCCAGGCCTGGAACTGTGCCTGGGAGAAAGTAGGCACTCAATAAAATAATTGTTGAATGAATGAATGATGGAAAGGATGCCAGAGCAATCCCTCTTTACTCTCTGGAATCCACACTCACCTGCTCACAAATAGCTCCCGTCATGGTGACCGGGAAGGGCCTGACATTCCCTCGGCCCAAGTTTTCACGTTTCCTCTGGTTGCTGAAGAGCTTCAGCTCCCTCTTCTCTTCCTCATCCAGGGAGTTGCAATATCGAACCTGAAGAGACACAGAGAATGGCATGGAGGAGGCTGCCCTCGCTCCTTAGGATTCCCGAAACTCATGCCTCAGAGTTTTTGCATGAAACATGCTCCCATTTGGTTGTATAGACCTAACCTGCACCTTAACACCACCAGGCTTGGGGCTACTTAAAGTGAGTCTCTCCTAAGATTGTTGACAGCCAAAAGAGCTTCCTGAAGACTCCAAATTCTAGAGCCCAAGTCTTGGGCAAGATAAATGTTTTGTTACCGTTTCTCATCCTTCCTGCCCGACTCTGCTCACCACACTCAGATCCAAACCATCTGGGATAGCTTTGGTGTTGGTTATGATCTGGGACTTTCTCCTTCTTTCAAATTGATTTGGATCTTCAAATTGATTGTGAGGTCCTGATACTTTCAACTCCATGTGCCCACGTAAGTGATTCTGGACACCAAAGATTGGCTCCAGGCCAGCGAGCCAGAATAGTGGTCAACATGCTCAAGGCTTCTGAGCATCTCATTTTTAGGAAAATGGGAAGACAATGGGTTGAGAGTGAGGATCGGTCCAGACGTCCCTGTGCTGGTTCAGGGACATCCCTGTGTGTTTATCTGTGTGCAGGAGGAAAAGGGCTGCCCATTGAGCTTTGGTTAATGCATCAACTTGCATAAGATATTTTCCTTCTTGTTAAACACAGAAACTCACAGAATTAAGGGAGGGACATGAAAGATATTCAAATCTGCTATTTCCCATTCTCGCCCCTTATTTATGCTCACCTTAGGAATTTTGCCATAATCTTGAACTAGTATTTACTAAACACTGGTTTTAAAACTGACTCAATTGCTTTTTTACTTGAAAACATTTTCTTAAAAAGAAAGCATATTATGATTATAAATGGAAAATCAATATCACCTGCAAAAAATAGAAGGCGAACAGAAAAAATAAATAGAGTGAGAACAAACCACATTGTTAGATTCTAGCTGGCTACTTTTGCTTGTGGGCGATCCTGAAGGAGATTCTTAATGCTGTTACTTAAGATGGAGACTAGTAGGAGTTGGAGGGGTGTGAGCTACCTGCTAACCCAAACCGAAATTTCCCCCTGGATTACTAACCACTCAATCATGAGGAATGAAATGCAATTTAAAAGGGAGTGACTCTCTCATGATGTGGTTCAGGTTTATTTACTGCCATGTCCATGTACCACCCGAAGCCATGTCTCTACCACACTTTGGGAAACATGGATCTGACCCACCTCCTGTGTTACTTTTGAACAATCTGAGCATCAGAAAGGTTAACTGAATCGCTCAGATGATTTGTTATGCAGAACGTTAGAGGGAAAGCTTTCAACTAGGACCAGCATTCTAATTTGAAAACTGGTGCAGCTGTATATATTAAAATTGTCTTATCTGGGTGAAAAAGAGAATGATCAAATATTTACTTTAGAATCACTCTTTGTCCTCAAAAGTGTCATGTCAAACGGGTGAAATTGGCCTACTGGGTCACATGTAAAGAATTCTCACCAATAAGAAGAAGGAATTTAAAAAGGTCTCTTTTCATGAAACCACAATTAACAGTAAACAGAATAAACCATTAAAAGCAGAGGAGAGCAGATCACTTCCCTCTATCAAGTAAAAAAGGTTAAAAAAAAAAAAAAAGTCTTCATGTGGATGTCCCAGAGAGAGAACTACAGTGACCCAAACAGCCCAGAAATGGTTATACCATTGACATTTTATGGACACGCTTTTAAGAAAGGCACACCCCTCCAGCTTGTAAAAACCCGTAATTTCACTTCCAAATTCGTTAACTGGGCATCAGGTTACAATGCTTGCTCCCTACTTTAAAGGAGAAAGCATTATTTATATTTGCCTTTTGAAGTCTGAAATAAACAACAGAAAAGGAAATTGTGGCTCTCTTTCTAGGGAGTTACTTCAGTTTTTCAGCTTTTGCTTCACTTATGCGATTTATTTTTGAGGCTCTTGAATGATCCTTTTTACTTCAAATGTGGGAAGCTAAAGACTAAAAAAGCACTCACTCATTTCCCCTGGGATCCAGCTTGTGGGTGGGGGCAGCTGGTAGAAAGCTGGGGTCCAGCTCTCTGAAGAGGTTCTCTCTCCTTTCAAGTTATAATTATGATTTTGTTTAAAATGCAATCAGAGTGAAACGGACAATTCAATTCTATAGGATTACTATTTTAAAAATCCAAATACTTAAAAATTAATTTCTAGTTTACAAATGTAAACCCCTCAAGCATCATGCTCATTTAAAAGTGTATTTACTAACTTCCCTGTACGATCAATTTAACTTCAAAGATAACAAATGCCTGCGTACAGTGCCATGTGTCTGGGTTCAGAAAAAAGGATAGCTTGCAAGCCATTCTTTCAAGAGTACAAATGACGACCGTGGCAAGTCAGACTTTAAAAGATAAAAGCACAGATGTTCAGCGCAGTAAATCTGGACACGTTGCCTCTACTACAGCACAACACGGAAAATGTGCGAGTTCATTTAATATGAAATGATGTTGAAAATTCACAAGAGTCAGAAATTTATTGCAAGGGCTGAATTGCCCCAAGAATTCTCAATCATCTAATGTACTGGGGCAACCAGCACTTTCTTCTCCCACTAAGAAAGCCTGGACTTGAGATTTTAAATTTTAGTGCTCCCCGGTTAGCCCAAAATAGCTAGTAGTGCCAGGCACAGAGGCAAAGCCAGTCCATAACGAGATTCCGCTTTTCGGTAACACTCTCCAGAAGGCGTCGGACAGTTTCTTTGGCTGTAATTAAGGAAGCTCAAACCTAAAACGAACTGCCAGAGTGTTTCTTTGGAGATCTCATTATCACAGAAGGTAACAACTCACAGAAGGTTCTAAGAAAAGTCTTCTTAAGGCTCCTCCAGCCCCTTACCTCATTGTCATGTGGTGGCAGCTGGTGTAATAGCTGCTTGATTCGCAGTTTCTCTCCAGGACTGTTGACATAAGGAACTTTCTCTTCTGGGAGACAGCTATAGTACTGGTGAACCTGAAGGATGGAAAGTACACAGGTAACTTGTTCCTCACTCAAACCTCTCGCCCATTCCCGCTTCCTGGGCAAACGATTCCCACAGGAGGACACAATCGACTTCCCACGGTCCCCACCCTTCAAGAAACTCAAGAGCATATGAGTTTCTGACTGCCTGCAGAGAAATTCACCCTTAAAGAAAGAGGCGAACAAATCACCCACATCTTGGGGCTTTCCCTCTTTCTACGAGGGGAAAATAAAGCCAGGAAACTTTCCTCGAAAAAGAGAATTCGGCAAACACGCTGGTGAAGCCGGAGGGTAGGGCTTTCTCAAAGACTCCCCCGAGAGCTGACTTTACCATTTTCTCGGTTAGTCTCCAGCATGTAATGTGCCTCCTTCGCCAAAGGGATGTGTCAGCGCCTGCCTCGGCACTGGAGTCAAAGCCAGTAGTTGGCACTCAGTGAACTGCTGGGTCCCTCAGCCTCCACCTACATTCAAAGCCCTCCAGGTTTCCAGCTCTTTGCAAGGCAGAGGCTCACGTGTGTCAGAAAAAGAGTCACTAAATCTGGGATACGGACTGTGTCATTAAAAATCATTATCAACCTGAGTATTTTTACACATCCTTGAATGCTCCCATTTACGACTGTTAGGACAGATTCTTGCGTTTTTTGAGGCTCATTCAACCCTAACGACAACGTGGGAAAACACCAAACACCTAATTCTGCCTGAGAAAAGAAAACAGACATCATACCATCCAGCTGCGTGTAAAATTAGGGACAGAAAAAACTGGCCAAAAAAGAAGGTATACTATTACATAGGAGAGGAAAAAAAAAAAAAAGAAGGAACAAAAAAGAAACAAAAACACCCCACAAGCTCAGATGACATCATGGAAAATACTTTTCAACTATCTCTTAGCATCATGACCAGCTCTTGCGAAACAAGGCATTCATTCAACAAAACGGAAAAGACAGAAGACTTGGGGTTCTTAAATCATCAGATCTATCTCCCGCCACAAGCTTGGTCTAATTCCCTTGAGTTTAGGGAGCCTTGGATATGAACATATGTTCTGGGAAGGCTGGGGTGAAGAGTTGCGAAAGCTCTGTCTATTTCGATCTCCAGAAACTAAGTCACAAATATTAGAAGAGGAAAAAGGCTTTGCTATGACAAGGACTTAAAAAAAATGTGAAAGCCATCTTTACTTTCATAACAAATGATCCTAACCATTCACCATCATGTGCATATCACCCTCTTAATCAAACCCCAAAGGCAACCATAAACAGATTTCTCCCGCAGACTAGCTGGCATTCACAGGGCAGCCTCCTCAGAGGCACCAGGCAGGGAGCCACATTCTGGGAAGGGAAGGAACGGCTCCAGGTTTTGAGGGCAGCCCACAGGTTACCAGCACTCTCTTTGAGAAGACATAAAAGCCCAGATTATGAGTTCATTTGGGATTAGAAGCTGATGATGATCCCAGCCTAGACTAGCATACCATTTCTTGCTCAGGAGAATCTGTGCACCGTATGTCTCCTCTGCTAAGTTTGCCAAATACAAGGAAGCAGGGCCAGTCTCTATATCTTGGGGAATGGGCTTTGCCTCGCCAGTCAAGGAGTGCTTGTAGAAAAGCCTTATTGCAACATTACTTTGTCATTCTCACCACTCCCATTATAGTTACAGAACATGAGGGCCAAATGCTTACACCAAATGAATCACTGTGGATGCTTGATAATGAAGAGTCTAATTGGAGCTCCACTGACCCTCCTCTCAATTGCTCCTCATTACTCACACACCCCTCTCTTCACTGCCCAGAGCAGTCATCCCCGAGAGCGCTTTGGAATTGTCACCTTGAGCCAAGCCCTGTCAGATACTGTCCATGGCTCACTGAGGTGGGATCTTCCTTGAACCTTGTGCAGCATGGCCAGGTAGATCTGAACCCCTAGTTATGGCTCTGTCAGTTCCCATCTCTGTGTTCATGAGCAAGTTACACATCTGCTCAGAATCCTCATCACAAGATTGTGGTAATTAAATGAGAGCACAGACAAAGCATGTGGCCCTCAATGATAATAAATAACAGGAACACATAGCAATAAGCACATTATCCATCCTGGCATACTCCAAATGGAACAATCTAGATTTTCTTGGCCTTTCTTCCATTTTGAGAGGTAGGGCAACACTGTTGGCTTATAGAGTGAGACCAAACCCCATCTTAGTCTAAGAAAGAAGGTTGCAAGCAATAAAATGCTATTGAAGCTAGTTTGATTTCAGAGAAAAAAAGTGGCCAATTATTATAAAAATGTGATGTTTTCTGAAGAACCCCAGCAATATGGTAGGGCATCATGAGGAAATGGAACCTGCCACTGGAAGGCGATTGGTAAGGGATTCTCATCTCTCTAAGACCAGTGTCCTCATATGTCTGCTCTATCCTCTCTCTGCAGATAGTCTTACCTTCTCAAAGCTTAAGGTTTCCCACAACATTTAAGTTTACACAACCTCAGTTCAAGAGTCTATCCTAGACTGACTAGCTTTGCTGAATTCCAAATTCCCCAGAGAAGGACCCTGATTAAGCCATCTTGGGCAAGGTCCACACCTGGAGACTGGATGGGAAAACTTTCACATGGTTTTAAGACTGGAAGAGAAAGAAGTCCCAACCCAACATGATTGGGTTAAGCTGAGGGCAGCCATGATGGAGAACTCTAGAAATACTTAGGAGATAAATAAATATCTTGGTCCATCCTGAAGACCTTGAATTCTTCAGTCAACAGAGGCAGCAACTACTCTTTGAGAACATAGCTCTATCTTTCCTGGCTGGACATCTTGTGTTGTGTTAATTCAAGTCTACTGACCACCACCACTGAAAATGTGTCCTTTCTCCCAGTCTTCCAATAATTCCTCGAATAAAGAATGTGCTAAAATAATTTCTCACAAGGCAACCAATAATTTGGCAGATGACTTAAAAACTTACCTAGTGAGATGCTTCCATTATTAAAACAAATCAGCTTATATTAACTAACAATATTAATTCACAACTTTATTTCATGTGGTAGGTGATCTGTCTTGCTCTCAGCAAGGAGAATGAGCTGGTTATTCACCACTTCCATTCCTCTTCCAAACCTGTTCAAGTCTAGGAGAAAAAATAATCCCTCTCAGGTTGGCTTCTTGTCTCCTCCTGGTGTTTAGGAGCCGGACTTTCCAAACAATTCCTCGAGCAAAGGGGATTAGCAGATGGATGGGAAGGAGGGAGAAACCCCTCTCTTGAATTTCCAATCTGTCTCCGGCTGAACACAGGAACGCTGCGTGCATTTTCCCCTGGCATCCTTCATAATAAACTACTGTATAGCCCAAAACAAACACCAAGTGAACCAATGGTAAAGGGAAAATATTTAGTATACTTTCTGGCACTATAAAAATTAAATTTGGCACCACCTCTGAAAATCCTGCAAAGTGCTCATTTTAGCCCAAACATGTTTCACTTGTTAATTTTTACGAGTAAATAAGCAAGTCCAATAGAATTTTGTCAATGATGATCATCACCAAGCTATTACCTGGTGTGTTGATAACTTTATTTTTCCTCCTGTGTGTATGGAGTACACTTCTCCAAAAGCAGGTCAGTTGAATGTGCTGGAAACTTTGCTCCCCTTAAACATTCCCAGGTAGAGGTGGCCTGTGACTGTGCCCTGGGTGAAGCCGGACTAGGTACATTTCCCCATGAACAAGAGCATTTGGAGCACAATCAACTGGCTTATGGAAATGGAATAGCTGAAGGCCTTTATTTAAGGTGTTACTCCCAATGGGGAGGTTTGGCAATAACTTCATTCTGTGTCAGACGGATTGTAAGAACTTTAGTCAGTGTGCAAAAAAGTCTTCAAAACCAAGGCCTCGCCCAAATTGAAAGACTGGGCTTGTTAGACGGAATTGTACATTTGACAGCATTTCTGCCTGGGCGGAGATGGAAGCTAGAGTCAATGACTCCATGTTGGAGAGGAAAGTGTACTAATTAAAGAAAGTGGGCAAAGTGGTTTATTTTGAGTGGTGGTTCTCAAACTTTAGCCTGCATCAGAACCACCTGGAAGGCTTATTAAGACACAGACTTCTAACTCAGTAGGCCTGGGGTAGGGCCCGATAATTTGCATTTCCAAACACTTCTTGGGTGATTAGGTGATGCCCCTGCTGTTGGTCCAGAGACCACACTTGGAGAGTCTGAGAGTTATCCAAGCCTTTTCCCTCAACAGCCAACCCCAGGAGGTTGCCAGGCAAATGGAGGGATTCCTGTTTTCTCCAAGGGATCCAGGAGGCCCAGAGGCGGGGGGAAGAACATGTTCAGTCTCACTCAGTTTTGCAGGTGTCTCCTTCCACACCTACATAAATACTTAAGCAAGAGGGTTCCACTAGCTCTGGCAAGAAGGAGAACTCCTAAGAGCAGAATGTTCATATTTTTGGGTGAACACTTTTCATCTCAAAAGTATCCCTATTTTCTTAGAGCGGGAACCCATCAAAGAAGTCAGATTTTCATGGTTGATCCAGATTCAATCGTCCTTTACCGTCGAAAAGAAGGAAGGGATCAATGAACGTATTTATTCATTGAGTAGCTCTTACGCTTGAAGTGTCTTTATACACAGTATCTCATGGACCCTCCCCACACCCTGCAGGTTGGTACATCATACTCATTAGACTGAGCATCACACTGCTGAAAGGTGGTAGAGCCACCTTTGGGCTCGGCTTCCTCACCTCTTTCTCTTTTTTTTCCCGTGGATTCTTGGCCTTCTTTATCAAGAAGAGACTGGCATATGGGTGAGAAAGAAGAAAAAAACCAGACAGAGTAGATTCCCAATACGTCTGTATGACTGACAGCAGAAATGATGAACACGTTTTCCGTTGGTGTTCTCCATAAAACATGAACTCCAAAATAAACTGACAGTAACAAGAAATGATGTACTCCAAATTAAACAGTCTTTCCACAATACCTGGCATGATGGTGTAAGGGGGCTGTGGCAGAGATGGCTGCCCACCCACACCCATTTCCCTTT